GGACTTGTATCGCTGAAGTTTCTCGGAAATAATTTTTACGGGAAATTATCAAACGAGCAGATACGTAACAATATCATTCAGTTGAAGTACTGAATACATTGTAGTTAATGATAAAGCTAGTATCAACCAGGTTTTTTGTTGTTTTTTTTTTCGAATATTCTTCGTTCGACCAGTCGTTCGGTCCAAGTCAGGTGACTACGGTTACGTGATCTGTTAGAGATGTGATAGAAGTAAGTTGTTACGTGTGCCTGAAAATTTTCTCAAGTATTATGTGTGATCTTATTCTGAATTCTTTTGGAATCTCAATATACAGCAAACTCAATGATATTTTTGGAGACGTTATAAGCTAAGTATATTATACTAGGTTTGAAGATTTTTTATGAATGACATCTTTCTAGAGTATGAAAGTGGCACGTTGTTTCGGTCTAGATCACGAGGCTTCATTACAGAGATCGAAACGACTCCAACTTCTAAACACTTCAGGCAGTTGTAGTAAATAAAATCTAAAATTAAGCGCAATGACAAAATCACAAAGTGATGAACTTTCGCAGACTTGCTAAGCCTAAAATACTTTATTAACATTCGTCTATTATTACAACAAAAAATAACAGAAAAAAATAACTTTGCAAAAATAACTATCGAGAAAATCGGGCAAATTATTAATTTTCTACGTACAATATAATATGGAACCCCAACAGTATTACTAGTGGCATTAATTGCAATATTGATAATTGTTTTGTTTGCAGTTTTTATTGATAGTAAGAACCCTGTAACGAACAAAGTCGAGGTCCTACAAGCAATTTTAGGGTTACGTTCGATTAGCTTCATCGAATATCAGCGTAAAGAATAAGTTATTACTCTTGAAGAAATTTGACACCCACCACTTTTGGATACGTGATCGTGATAATGAAAGACAAAGCAAAGATTATAATACAATTAGGTCAGTTCTTGAAACAGAAAAGTCACAAGAATAAAGTGATATCTCCTCGGCTCTTTCAATGGTGTTATTAGATTTAAGTCAGCAAAAATTCATTTGATTGTGAATAAGAAAGACTTCTTATAAGATAAACTAAAACTACAAAGGGTTAACTAACTCCAGCAAAACAAGTTATAGATATATTTATTGCCAACATATTATTATTATTTATTAATATAATCTTCAGTAGATCTTTCTTGTATATATTACTAGCTAAATTACCCGTTCCCTGCATAGGTGTCCAAATTACTTAAAATAGATATTTAAAAACACAATGAAATTACTTTTAAGAACATTTATTTAAAAAATTCAATTTTCATAACTCGTGCCACTACATCATTTTGGAAGATCAAGATTTATCAACAACATTTTTGGTGAACCAACCTTTTGGCCCGGCATGGCCAGGTAGTTAGGTAGGTTATTAACGGATGAGACCATATTTATGAGGCCCGAGTAGTTAGGGCGCTCGGCTCGCAATCTGAGGGTCGCGGGTTCGAATCCCCGTCACACCAAACATGCTCACCCTTTCAGCCATGGGGGCGTTATAATTGACGGTCAATCGTTGGTAAAAGAGTTGCCCAAGAGTTGGCGGTGGGTGGTGATGACTAGCTGCCTTCCCTCTAGTCTTACACTGCTAAATTATGGACGGCTAGCGCAGATAGCCCTCGTGTAGCTTTGCGCGAAATTCAAAATAAACAAAAAGAACCAACCTTTAATTTCAGAATGTGACCCGGCATACCTGATGGTTCAAGAAAATTTAGAAATTCAGTTGTATAATTTAGAGCATCGACTGTAATTGGAACACTGACAATTGAGTTGTAGGTGAATTCCTGTCCGGGAACCTTTTGCAATAATTGATAATTTATGTTATGAACAGTGTCATTTCTAGGTGCAAAGAATTGCTTTTTCACACAAACATTCATAATTTTGACAAATATTAGGGGAACACCTTTTCTTTTAGCTCTTCTGAATCCTTAACTAAGTTACCACATTTGTCTGGAATAGTAATGTAGTTGTTTGATTGATTGGAAACTTTCCAACACTAACTTAAGAAGTTTCTGAATTAAATCGTTTGCTTTTATATCACCGAAATTATTAAAAACAGAGAAAATAAATACAAATCACAAATTAACATATATATTACACATTCAACATAAACAACATTGTTGGACTAACAACAATGTCGTGATAGTTTTGTTGCTAAGCGACGATGTATAGTGTTGAGTATTACCAAAAGGAGCGTGACAAATTAGTTTTTGTGGGAAACCTGGTGGGAATTTTGCCCCTTCACGTTACTTCTGGGGACCGTAGGAGTCACTATGTTAAGTTTGGTGGTAATTGGTTAAATAGTGTGCGAGGAATTAGCAGACAGACAAACAATTTCGCTTTTATACATATAGAAAGATTATTATCATAAGAAGATCGAACTAGAAGATCGTGGGTTGACTCTGTGGTATAACTCTGGATGTCGGAGTTGGTGAGCCAGACTTGAATCCGTGCGATAACACAAAACAGTGTTCGCATTTTAAAGCTGTGGGTGCGTTATAAAAATAACAGTCAATCTCTGGCTACCTACACTCGGGCCAGTAGTTGAAAATGAAATACGGCAGCAGAAAGCCCCAGTAACTTTACCAAAAACATAAATATAAATAGGAAATTTGAAAATGAGTTGTGGATTTTTAAGTCACTACTTTAGGTTGTAATTTTAATGATTAATACATTTGATGTCAAACAAGTAATATATACATGAGAGAAATACTAGTCT